GGAAGAAAAGGGAAAAAAAAAGACCAAAACATGCATGGGGTTGCAGTAGCTTTCTGTGTCCTTTTTCTCATTTTGCTTTCATTAATTCAGTTGTGTCTAAGGAGATAATGAGTGCGTGGGAATTTGTGGTATCCCATACTTCTATGAATGCTTTGACCATTATAAAGAGTATCTGGGGGTTTTTTTCATAAGTATTCTGCTGGTTAACCATGCTTCTTGATCTTTCCTTTTTTCTTTTTGTATTTCTTTTTTAGGTGAAGAAAAAAGGTAGAGGGGTATTAAAAAGACAGGCTTCTAAATAGTTTAGGGCAATCTAATGTCGTGTTCTTATATGCTCTTGATTTTGGAACTAGGTGAGGGTCATAGTGGTAAGGAAATCTAAAGTTAGCCAAAACTGCTGTGGCCATATGCCGTTGGATTTATGTGGTCTACAATAGGAATAAGGCAGGAATGGTACCTGAGTGCTGAAGTGCCACGCCTTGGCTGCAGGTATATTTTCTTGCCAGGAATGTAAAGATGGATGATATACTGAAATGAAGAATCCTGCCAAAAGCAGAAGGTTCACTCTTCCTCATTTTTGTGTGGCTGTGCTATTTCAATTGCTTGTATTGGCCCTGTACAGGAATGTACCTCTTTGAACCCAAAACGCAATGGGAAAAATGCAAGGATTTTATATCAGTGGAATGTGGATTCTTGAAATTCTTAATATTTGACAAATGTTAAACAACTGGCCTCAGAAGTGAATATCTATAGACTTGTCAAGTCTCTAAATTTTTACTGCAAAAAGGTCTGTTTGTCATCCAAGGCATGGAGTGCTATTGTCTGCCAGATTAACTGTTTCTCCATGATGAATAAGAGTAATATGTAGTGATCTCTCTCCAAGACTCAAAAGGACTTGAAATTTTGGTGTGTGTGAGTCACTATGACATGTTCTGTAAAGTCTTGAGTTGAAACAGGTGGGACAATGGGGTCCATACACAAAAGAAATGGGGATGAGGCTGGGCAGAAGCTAGAATATAGTTTGACAGGTGAGAATGGCACAGTTACTTGGGCTACATTAGTTTCCACATAACAAGAATCCCATCCAGCAGGATGGTCAAGCTATCACCCAGTGTAGCCATGTTGTCCAGGACTGGGAGCAAAGAAAGATTCACGGCCTAAGTAAGGATGCTAAACCTCTGTCTGGATACAGTTGATCTCTTTTGAAAATACTTAGGTTGAAAGTAATTTCTTGTTGACTCTTCACAGCCACAAGAAAGCATTTGTCTTGATTAGAGAATATTTGCAGGTATTTCCTCTTTCCCAGGATGCCTGAGAGTGTTATCCATGACCGTTGCTTTTTAATACTAAAGGAGCAAATTTGTCAGTGTTGTGCAGCCATTATTCAAGTTCTACTAGAAGACTTATAGTCACAGACTTTTTTAAATGTCACTATAATTTTTTCCTGTGTGGGTTACAAATCACTGTGTTAAATAAATTAAACTACTTATTCAACCTGAAAAGCCTTTAAAATCTTATAAGGTAGCAGAATAGCTTCAGATTTTGAATGGACTTGATGTATTTAGAGCCTTACCTGAGCTAAAAGAGTTACTCTTAATTAAAAGTAATGTTACTTCTGTTTAAAACTAATCTTAAAACCTAGCCAACACATTAACAAATACAGTTTCATATTAATTAAATTTAAATAAATTAAATTAATTGAAAGCAGCATATAAACTCTTGATACAAAGGTAATTGTAGTGACTGTGGTGGTGGAGTGAATTTGCTTTAGGGTGTGTTCGTAGTTTTTTTTTTTAAAAAGGGGAAAAAAAGGACCTTTGAACTGCTGTTTCCTTTTCGGAACTTCTATTCATTAAAAACCAAAAATACTGTAGTAGAAAAGCATCCGTTTTCTTACTGACAGATTAAATTGCTTGGAAGTGCTCCTGATTTTACTATACATCTGCATCATCACCTTTCAGGGCTTGTAGATGGTGCTGAATACAACCATGATGGAGTTTGGGGAAGGTGAGCTTCATATCCCCATGATCGTATCTTGGCAAGGTTGGCTGTATCTTCTACGCTATCATGTGTCATGGATGCATGTGATACCTGCTATTGCTAAAGGAAAAACCATAGGCACTATTCCTTTGGTAAATCCTTTGTGAACTTGTAGTTTGGTTAAACCAGTGTTTCCTGACTGCCTTGGGTGGTAAGATCCCCATTCTTTTTTTCCTGGAGCAGTTTTCAGCTGGATGAGTTATTCATCCAGGTATTTAGCTGGATAAGCATTCAGAAGAATGTTACTGTATAGATATGTAAGCCATCATGGTGATGGCAAGAACTGGGCGGTCAGGGATGATGAGAGAAAGTGACTGGAGAGAGGAGCAGTGCCAGCCTAGATGTGTCGGAAAAGTTCGTGGAGATGTGGTGTGAGACGTTTTGCTTTCAGCATCATCCACGTGGCCTCGTAAAGCTTTTCTTGCCCTTTCAAGGGCATTGTTTTTCAGAAGGAAGGGCTGAAATTATGGGAGTTTTGTATAGCCAGAGATGGAAGTGAGTGACAAAAGCGGGCTTATTTGAAAGTATGCCACTGTCACTGTGTGTGTGTCTGGATTGCTCACTTTTTTATTATGAGAGAAATCTGAGAATCCCAAATAACTTTTCCAAAAAGAAATTAATTCCTGCTTTCTAGTACCTCCAATTTACGTAATTTATTTCAAAGTTACTTATTCAGACCTTCATGTCTTATTTATTTGTGCTTTCTTTTTTTCCGAATCCAGATGCTGTCAATGTCCTGTTACACGAACAACACAACTTTTGTCTGGGGTAAAGCAGAAGAGGTTTGTATTTGTTTGTTCTTTGACCAGTGGTTCTTGAAGCATTGCTTATGCTGGGAAGCATCTGTCTCATCAGCAGGGTGATTTCCGAAGACATACAAACAGTGCATTTGCTGCAGCACTGAAGTTAGGTGCAAACTCCTAATTAAACATTGTAGCTTAGATACATTGCAAGTCTGAGAATGCTGAGGGCACCTTAGGAAAAAAAAAAGAATGCAAGTAATAACATCTAATGAAGAGCTGGCTGAAAGTAGGCCCCACTATCCACACCTTTACAAAAAGCATTTCACAGGGTTCTCCAAGCATTTTCTTTGGATTTGCCCAGTCTTCACTGCTTCCTTCCAATTCTGTGCATCATCACAATAGCTGCAAACAGGGGCTTGTATTTAACATGCAGGAAATTCCCTCTCTGCAGAATCAAAGCAGAAAGAGCTAGGTGGAATAAAGCACCTATTCACCTTTCTTCCATGTGCCAGGTTTGAACCGGTTTCTTTTTGACCCATACAAAAAAGACTTCAGACAGACCATTTAGATTCTGTTAATGTCTAGCTATCTGTCTTCTACAGAACAATTACATGTAAAATGATTAATATTTAAACTGTGGGTTACGTTTTCTGCAGGCAAGTTTGTGCTTAAGAGAAGTGTATAGTTTTAATGGCACAGAAATGGGAAAAAATCTGTAAAGTTCTGAACACAGTTTTGTTGTTCTTGAAATCTTTTATGCCTTCTAATGTAGTTACTTTGTTCATTCGACAGCTCTTTTTAATGGGAGTTCCTGCTAAGCTTTATGTGTACGGTATTTTTAGAAACTCGGCAATTATAGATGTAACAGTGCTGAGTTATTTAAAAATACAAACTTGTGGAACATACAGTACTTGTATGTTTCAGAATAACTGTTAAGCGCCTGCATTTTCTTTTTCTGTGTATTTGGATGCACATGGACTCTAGCTCTATTCTTTTAAAATTTTTCTTTAAATTATCCTTCAGTAGGCTGTATTCCTGTAAAAACTTGAGGATTTTCCTTGTGTTCTTTGTGGTAGTTCACCAGACACTTCTGTCAGATATGCGCTTACCAGGGTGTCCATTTTGTTGAATTTGAACACTTTTTCTTTTGCTGTGCAGGCTAGTTTCAACAGTTGCTCCTCAGCTTCCAATAACGTGCTTTCAAAGTGAATGCATCTCATTCAGGTTAAGGAGTTGTCTTTTTCGTGAACCACAGTGTCTTATATGTTCTGATGTTATAAGCTGAATTTTATGGCCCCTTTGTGGCAGGTGCAGAGTATCAGGTAAATTGCTTACTTTTTTGGGCCCACTGCTGTGCAAGAAAGTAACCTTTTTGATAAGGTTTTACAGTTGAGCTCATTTCCATTAAACTTAGTCACAAGAATTGAGTTCCTGAAAAGTCCTTTTCCATGTTGCAAAACAACTGAATGAAAAGATGATTCATTAATTCCTTTTCAGCTGCATTACTGATATTGTCTTATGCTGATGTTCCCTAACCCTGCAAAACTCAATTTGGATTCATATTTGAGGCTAAACATCAGACTATGACTCTTTGAAGCATAGGCTGAACCGATGCTGAGGCATTGTGAGTGGAGTTGTCGTGATGTGGGGGTGACTGCAGGCAGCCTTTCTTAGGATCACATGGTTATATGGTCCAGAAGCAGAGGTGCTGGGCTGCCCATCACAGGGGGCTGGCAGCCTCAGAGTGTGACCCAGACACCTGGGAGGCTCCAACTGCTTGCTGTATCTTCTCAGCTGTGATGGTTGGTTGGCAGAGTGGTGTACTGTTGTGACACCCGAGCATTTCGTTTGGATAATCACCTCCTTCTGTTACTGCAGTGGGCAACGTTTGGCATCATGGAAGCAGAATGGTCTCCTCAGCCACTTCGTGAAACATTTCTGCTTTAGAACTCATCCAGGGGTAGAAGGAACATCGAGACTGAGCAGAAATATAAGCATTGAAAGTAATAGCTTGTAAGAGTTTCAGCTTGTATATAGGATGCTGTTTATACAGTCTCTGGTGAAGAATAAAAATGTAACATGAGAATAACCTCCATCTCTTGTTATTCCAGGTTGTTGTCTCCTGGGAAGATAACAAAGATGCAGGCATGTTGAAAACTTCAGAAAAGTGAGCCATGACTCTTTCTGAAAGCTGAAAAGAAGCTGCCTGGTAGGGTCATGAACCTAAGACAAGTCTTTGTGTCTGTACTGTTGTTTGGAGTAGCTGGCCTACTCCTCTTCATGTATCTGCAAGCTTGGATTGAAGAACAACATACAGGTACAGTAGGTTTTCTCTCTTTTTTTTTTCCATGTAATTGCATCCATTATTTAAGAGATGACTGTAAAATCTGTTGACTACTTGTGGACAGTTGGTGGTGGAGTCCTCTTATTTGGCAGTAGAATGGCATTGAAAATAAACTTGTTTTAATTGCTACACTTCACTAAAAAATTTCTTCAGTCGCATAAAAAGATGCCCCCAGCTACCTAATCGTATTGTATCAGCTTCATTTGCAAAAACAAGTGTTGCAAAAGCATTTTGTTTATGTGTGGAGCCAAGCAAGTCCAGTTTAGAAATAATTCTATATGATGATTTGCAGTGGGCTTTGTACATTCTATTTTGTGTGGCAAAGCAATTTTTAGAGAATGACTGCTGTGACTTTTAGACAAAAGCGATATTCTAAGCAACAGTGCCCATGGAATCATCCTATCCCTTTCTTTTGTGGTGGTGTTTGTTTGACACAGTTAGATGCTGGGATTTTTATGTATAGCATCAGAGTCGTATCATAACTTCAGGTACATCTGTGTTACCATTGGCTCAGGATTACACTTCTGAGATGAATTTCTGTTGTTCCACATTTGCAATACTTTGGTTTGCACCACAGGTTGATATACATTCTTTTATAGATGAAACTAAATGAGGCCATTTACATCAACCCCTGCTGAATGCACAGTTCACAGGACTAGTCTAGATTTAGTCTGAAGTAACTCTCGCTGAAATGTATATGGGGTGGATGTTAGTAAGGTCCTTAACACACACTGTTTTGCTCTTCAGATCCACTGCTGTTGTGACGTGTTACTTGATGGCATATCCTTAATTTTAGTAAGATAATTGTTTTGGGGATTTGGGGTTTTGTTTCAGGGGTTTTTTTCCTTTGGTTGTTTTTTCCCCATTAACAATACAGAATGTTTCCAGCTTGTTAAGTGTTGAATTTTATGTTCTCTTGTCTCTATTGTTCAGCTTCTGTTTCTTCTGTAAAACTCTTACTTTATAATACGTTGGTACCATTGTGAAGAAATACATCTGTAAAACCACATTAGTCTTCTGGCTTTATGGACCTGTGCTGTTATTCCAAATGAGTTGTTAGGCTCCAGTATGTTTTAGAGAGCAATGTTGTGGGGAGACTCATTCCTGTAATTGTTTGACAACTAACTGCAATGATCAAAGCATTAATTTTGGCTTGTTAATGTTTCTATGCTATCCCAAGGTATTTAGAAGCTTCTATTAACAGAAGTGCTGTAAGAGGTAGTACAGGCTCCTTCGGAAAGGTTCCCTCGTAATCACCTGTTGACGCAAGGGTGCTGGCAGAAACCAGGCGTGCAGCAGGGGAGTCTTCCTTGAAAATCTCTACTGTTCTCAGGAATGTTAAGGGCAGATGTCCTTACTTTCAAGGTACTTCAGGAATGTAGATGATGACTGTAGATTATTGATTTATTTACTTGCTGACGTTCTTCACATTCCTTGCATCTTTTCTTGTGCTGTAGTTAACCTTTCTTTGCAGTGCCCCTTGTTGGTATTGCTCACTGTGGTTTTTTCTACTCCTTTCTTTTGTCTGTACCATTTTTTGTCTGTACCATTAAAAAGAAACAGCAAAAATATAACAAAGGGGGAATTAGAACATACTGTGTACTTTTGGGCAAGTAGATGCTTTTGTTGTGGTTTTCTTTGATGTATTGCTATAATCTTCTTCAGGAGAGAGGCTTCTCCTTGCACACATAAGTCATTTATTTCCATGTGGAAACATTTCCATAATAAAATGGAAGCTATCAGAAAATAACAGAATGTTTAGTGACCTTAAAGTGTGACTGCAGTTTTGAGTGCCCTTTTATCTCCCTGGACTGCTGTTGTGACAGCACTTCAGCAAGATAAAAAAAAATATAAAAATTTTGCCATTCTCTACAGCAGCTGGGTCATGCATGGTGGCAGGAGCATGGCAAAAAAATCATTCTTTGGAGTCTGCTCTTGCTTATTCTTCTTCCTCCAATTTAACATGTAGAGAGCCATTCTTTTTATTTCAAACACCTGTATCTCCTCTAAACCTTCTGCAGCTCAATTCTCTAATGCTCCCTGCTTGTATGCTGTTTAAGAGTTGATACAAAATAAAACATATTTGCATATTCACAGTATACATTTGTTTAGTTATGGGCATTTTGCAATTTTTTCCCTTCTTCTGCTGTGTTTTTGATATTGCCACGTATCTTGCACTGTGGCTTTTTTGGGGATGAGCTGTATCTGGAGAATCCCAAATTGACAAGTATCTTTGCAAAGATTTTCTGTGTTCCTTTAATCCCGTCACTAGTTGCACAGCTGTAAGACAGCTAGTTTTAATCTGCAAGTGGCTGAGCATGTGATTTGATGTTCTGTTAGGAAAGGGAAAGTGTGCCTCGTGCTTCCCAACTACCATGCTATGAGCCTGTAGAGACAAGTGTTTGTTGCAAGCAGAACTATTTTTATCTTCCACAGTGCCCTGCTCAAGACTTACAGCATTTGTGTTTGCATTTGGTTGCTGAAGGGATGGAAAGTTGGATGTGTTTGAGTTTAGGAAAGTATCTGTTTTGCACCTGTGAAATGCTGCTGCTTATCACCCCATTCCTCTGAATATCTGACTTGGAGCTTTTATAAATCATGATCTCTGGAAAAAAATAATGCATTTTACTCAATTGTTGTCTGTAATATTCATACTTATTTCTCAGGCTCTCCTAGATGTGATGTGAATTATTCCCAATCAGATGTAGATTTTCTTGGGAACTGGAAAATTGTATGGTAATTTGCAATTTTCTTATTAGTGTTTTGTCCTACTGTGTTAAAGTCAGACTAATTGCTTTCACACTTGTCATTCTTATTGCCCCTTTTTCTAGCTGGTCATAATTTTTCACACTTTTTACTCATAGTTTGCTTTCTCTCTTTTTGAGTGTCTTCTTTCTACTTGCTCTTCACATCTTTGAGACCTCAACTGTGATTTGACTCCCCTGCTTGTCTTTTTTTTGCTCTAGACTGATTTTATCTAAGCATGTTTTTTTCTGATTTTCTTCTGCAGACTTCCCTCATTACTCAAATATATTCAGCCCAGGTACACCTTCTCTAATTTTTCATCCTGTCCGTCGACTTCAGATGCACCTGCTGGCTCAGCAGCTGGATGCACCTCTCAGCACAGGAATCTTCTGCTCCCTCCCACTGTGCTTGGACTCTTCAGATTATTTCCAGTCATGTTCATCATCCCTGTACCTTAAAAAAGGGAAAATCTTTCATTTAGAAATGTCTTAGAAACAGCTGCTAGCTACATGGTGATCCTCTCTGATGGCTTTTCAGAGACATTAGCAGACTGAGAGAACAGGAGAGTTTCTTGGTTTGGCTCTGTGCACAGAGTGTATAAAGACAGGATGTTATATCCATACTTAGATATAGTAGAGCACTCCTGTTGGCTGTCTTCAGTTCATCTCAGTGGAGTAATCAGGAACAGACTTGTCAGTAGTCCAGTGTGAGTGTCAACACATCCAGACTTTGTCTGGATGAAAATTTAATTGAAAGCATTGATAATGTTGCCCACTTCCAGTTCTCTATATATAAATATATTTGCTTATATAAAAATTCACATACATAAATGTAGATTGATGTGAATTTAACTAAATCCTACAGCTTTACTTGGCAGTTCTCCATGTGGCTGTGCGTTATTCAGCGCAAGCATCAAATATTGTGGCACTGATTAAAAAGCAATTGCTATATACTATGTGCTTAGTTATGTCCAGCATTGTTAATCTTATACAGAGGAAGCAAAGTGCTGGGTCTCCCAGGGTTGATGTTGAGTTCTACACCATGAATCACCTGAATTAAGGGGGTTTTGGGTTGCAAAGGACATTTGTGTTTTAATCCTGCAATGTTATAGATGTCAGTTGAAGTTTTAAGTGAGAGATTCTCACTTCTTTTTTTATTGTGTGCTTTCTCCTTACTTTGCAGGGTACCAGTTTTGTAGTACCTGTGGGTGCCCAGGCATCCTTCTGCAGTCCTTGTCCTTTCCTGCAATTTTGTACATCTACCTCCTGAGGAGCTTCATCACACAGACCTTATCCCCATTCCTCAGGCTACAGATCTTGTTTTTGTGAAGAATCAGAATAAAAATTCAGATAAAAATCACATTCTAAGGAAAGTTTGAAATTCCATGAATTATCATGAGTCTTCTCAATTTATTGCTGTAGCCATCCAGGCTGTATCCATACTACATAATACTTGGCATAAACAGGTGGGCTTTTTTTCCACACTCGGCCAGATTTCTTAATCCAGGGTGATCTTTTGAGTCCTTCAGTAATCTGGTGAGATATTTTGAGTCCATGGAATGAATTACTTCCTTATTTTGACATTCTAAGTAGCAAATGAATGTGTGCATACAACTGATATTTAGTCTGCTGTATGTGTGGGTTGATTTTTATTTAAACCGTGTCTAAATGAAGAAACATCAGTGTGGCTTAAAGGACAGTTCATATGTAGTGGATTGAAAAGGCTACCATTTCATGGAAGTCATAGTTTTCCTAGACAATCTTCAGAAAATACATTAAACTAGTATATTTGTAGAAAACAGGTTTGTAAATAAAGGAGAAAAGGCAACTGTTCAATAACAGTTATTAATCATGAATAATTTAATTCTTCTAGTAACATTGAATATTTCTGTTTCCAAAGTTGTGGGTAGTTTATGGGAATCTTGCTAACTCTGCTGGAGAACATTATTGGTATGGCAAACAAATCTTCCTGGTTGACAAATCCCAGCTACTAATGAGGCTGTTCTAATGAGTCTAGGTGTGCTTAGGTTTTACCCTTCTTGTCAGAATATGCTCTGTTCTCTGTGTAAAGTGGTTTTGTTTCTTTGGGTTTTTTAAAGAGGATTCAATAGGATCATTAAATGCTGTTTGTGGTACAGTTACAGAGTTGTCAAAGTCCCTGAAATGCTACAAAATTTTATTAGGTCAATTTCACTATATAACATAGAATGTGTTTCCTTTCTCTCCCAG